ATTATCTCTTTATTCTCTTCCCTTCTTATGAAAAAATATAATTTAAATAAAAACAGAAACTTATGTTAAGTTTACTTATAGCCTACAGATAATTAAAGCAAAAACAACATCCTGATTTGGGAATGAGGGAAATATCTGAATGCTACATATTCCAAGGGAGCAGTGTGTGATTTTATTAAAGATAAATACAGCTCATGTCCTAATTTAAACAATAGTTTTCCCTATCCTTTTCTTTTTAAAGATAAAAAACCAACTTCTAGGTACAATATTTCTTTTCTTATTGGAAAGATACATGTTGAAGTTTAATAATCCATTTTCCTTTCATTATGCATGCAGAAAATCACAGCCATATAGACAATCAACCTATGTTGACATATATATATATATGTATACACACACACACACACACACACACACACACTTGATTTGCATATTTAACTTTGTTTGCATATCCGTAGCACCTAAATTCTTACTCTTTCAACATCCCAATCCATTCCCCAATCTCTTCATTTTCTGTTACTCTGATTAGGTGATGAGGATGGAACTTTTTTTACCTTTACTCCATTAAATATGATGAAGTATAATTGTTCTTTTGAACCCAGCAATTCTTATTATGGGAGGGAGAGCCACTGATGTGAAGGCCTGAGAGAAACTGAGGCCAAAGCTGCTTTTCCTACAAAGCCTTTGGTTGGGAATGGGGTGGTGCCAACATCAAAACAAGGAAAATCCCAGGCAAAGGCACCAACATCCTCTGAATTTTAATGAAAATGTAATGTTAATTATATAATTAGGTTGGTAAGGAGGTCATCATAAAGGCCCACTAGACTTTGGTTATATTTTAAGAGGAAGAAAAGAGGCAGTAAAGGAAACAAGTTTCATAAATATGTATAAAATATATGTATCAGAAATATATAGTAAATATACTGATAGTGACAAATGTTTATTTATATTTATATAAAGGTCTCCTAAAATATCCACTTGTGACTCCATTAAAAAGTTCAGAATACACCGCTAGTTTGGTTTCTGTGTACTTTAGTAAGAAAAGTTAGAACTTTTTAATCAATTCAAAAATTTCATACAATATTGAAAAAGAAAGGTTAGTTGGTATGAATTGAAAAAGACCCAACCAGTTTAAGACAGTGGATTTTGTGCTTGTAGATACATCTCTATAAAATCAGTATTATTTATAAAAATAAATATGCCTGCGAATTTATACACCACATGCAGCATATTTTCTACACAACACTCACATGTGTATGGTGTACTGTGCAGCTATAAATAATTAGGCAATCTAAAAAATGCAAGATATTACATGTGATAATCATTATCTATTAAAATGATTAAATAATTTTGCTTTGTCTAACAAAAAACTCTTCAGAGTATAAACTGAGGAAGGTTTTACTATTGGAAATTTAGTTAAATGTCTTGTTTATTGCTTGATATGTATCTACAAAAAAAAAGTTGGATAAAGCATGTGTGTACATACAAAGCCTTAAAACATAACTGCTTCTAATTTAGTAAATTACTCTTCAACCATCACTACAGGTAATTGCCCCTTATTTTGTGGAGGGTTTTGTAGAAAAAATAATAGAAGTGAAATAGTGTGTAAAAGTGCGAAGAAGAGTAATAAATCAAACTTTTCCTTCCAATGTCTCTGTGCCATCCTTTTTCTTCTCTGAAAACTCAGATAGAAATGAACAGAATTTAACCTTAGTGGGCAACACTAAAGTGGACAACAGTTTACCCGAGTTCCTGGGTCCAAGAAAGGCCTTAAAAAGGAGAGCACTTCTCCTTACATATAATCATCTTCCCATCCCTCATCGGAAGAATCGGAGCTCACCTACCAGAAGCATGGCAGGCATGAATGGGGAAGTAAAAAAAGAGGGGTGGTTGCAGCTAGGTGAGATGAATGCTTCAGCAAACGTCTGGGTCCAAATTCAGGAAGGGATGTTTCAGAGATGGGTCTATTTTTTGGATCAGAGAGAGAGACACTCCTTTCCCGGAACATTAAAAATGATTGCACCTTCTGAAATTAACCAACTGCCCGGCTAGCCTTCCCCACACCATGTTTACCACTATTTGGGGTGTGTTTTGTGTGAGCATGGGCTTGGGCATGATAACAGTCCCTGTTGTGTGTGCAACTGTACCAGAAAGGCCAAAAGTCAGAGGGGGATAATCAAAACAATGACTAATGATTTCTAACCTGAAGAAAAGCAGACATGTTGTTCACCCAGAATGTGCCTCTGTTTAAACGCTTCACTTCACACACCACACAATACATCCAGGAGAAAAACAACAACAGATTTTTTTTGGAAAATGTTTTATTTAAACCCTTTAAATCTTTTACAACAATAAAATATTGTGTCAATATAAACCCCTTGACTAAAACTGTTCACGTCAAACATTACAGAGAATTGTTTTCTTTTTGACATCCAACTCATCTTTGAAAGTTTCCTTTTTAACACAATGCAGAATTTTTTGAAAATAAATAATTGCTGGCGACTGCAATAGGCAACTTGAATAAAATAATTGAAAAAGCAATTTTTAATGAAAATAGCGTTTATTATACATCAATTACTGAATGAATAAACTAAATGATCTTTCTTTAAATTAATAACTTCAAAAATGCTTAATATACAAAACTGTACAATTATAAAGTCGGCAGAAATATTTGAGTTAACTCGTTTGAACCATAGCGCTTAACTGCAAAGAAAAAAAAAATGAACCAAATGGAAAAAAAAAAAAAAAAAAAACCTAACAGTTGTAAAACATGAACTCAATGGGGAAAAAAAGAAATTCCAGAACTAAAACTCAACTACCAACAGAATGTAGAGGCTTGACAAAAAAGAAAAAGAGTCCGGGATTGGAATTAACTCTTGCTCTTCGTCCTGCACCTGAGGGAGAGACAGTGTGGTGAACCAGAGGCCTGACAGTTCATACTAGCGCATCCTCCACAAGGGACCCTAGGCTTTTTGGTCCTTAGGTAGTTTGAAGCTTTGTCTATGCCAGCTGCGCCTGAAGGCCTGGTTAAGCGGCCAGCCCGCGTGTACCAAGCTCCCAGCTGGATCTGGTGGACAGTGGCTGGGTATTTGGTGTTTGGCAGTCCCACACATGTGTGCTCCTTGGGAATGAGGTGCATCTGTGGATCTGGTGTGTGAACTTGAGAGCTAGCAGTAAAGCAATAGCAACTGCATATATTTTGGATCTCTACACAGCCTAGAGAGATTTGTTTTTGTTTTTGTTTTGTAAATAGTAATACAATACACACAACTATCTAACACACGTTTGCACGCTCACACACACACACAGACACATACAGAGAGATTAAAAACAAAACAACAACGACAACAATAACAAAACAGAAACCCAGCCACCCGGGGGCTCACTAGAGAGCTCAATCGTCGCTGTGGGCTTCAACCAGCTGTGCTTGTCCGAGGCATGGAGAAGGCTCCCCATGAGCCCACTCAGCGACAGCGGTAAATAAACGGGAAAGGAGGTGATACGTGGCTAGATAAAAATTCCTGTGACCTTTGCCGATCATTTCATTGTCGTTCTGCACAGAGCAGAGAGCGCCTGTCCACCATCCCCTTACCGCTCCTCCTCGAAGATTTCTCATTCAAGGAGCAAGCGGTAAACCGAAGGTGAACTGAACTGGGAGGCACTGACCCAGTCTGTCACAAGCGTCTCCAGGTCGTTGTCTCCAGCGAAATCGATAGTGTGTAAAGGCAAGGTCCTTCGCCTGGGGGCGGAGGGTGAGATGGGTTTGCGCTGGCGGTCGGCCTGGCTAGACACGGGGCCCGTGGGGAGCTCCAAGCGCAGGCATTCCGGACCTCGTTAGGTGCAGAGCCCTCTCCGCTCCTCAGGCCGACTTCTATCACCTGGGCGCTGCCGCCGAATCATTCTCGGGCACCCGGATCTGTGCTGTAGAACCTGCAGAGACTCCATAGTTCCGGGAGGTAGGGCAGAAATCAAAATCGCCTCTCCTACTCCGCGCTAGTTTGCAAATCCAATCAGATTGCCTATTCTGCTCATCCTAGGCACTCCGCCCACGGAAAACAAAAATAAAAACAAAACAAAAAACAACTATATATGTGTGTATGTAGATGCCCGATTGGATGTAATTTTCTATTTCTTATGAAAACAGTTAAGAAAACAAAAAAAAAGAGATGGAATTCATATTGATATCCAGATTCTTGTTTCATATATATATTCCAATATCATCATCAACAACTCTCTCCATTGTATCCTCTTCTCTCCACACAGATTTGAGATAGGGGTGGGTGAATGGGTAGGCACTTCTCTCCCCCTCCTCCTTCCAGCCTCCCCGTCCTTTTCTAAGCAATAAAAAAAAAACATCGGCTGAATGAAGAAATGAAAATAATAGCAATAATAATGTGGAGTGGTCGATTAAATATAAATTGTCTCACAAATATTGTGTACAGCTTGTAGTAAAACACCGCAGACATTTAGAAATGCTATAGAAGTTTTTTAAAATGCAAAACTAGTCTATTGTAAAACAGATTTCACCTGAAATACAGCTGCTATAACCAAGGCGCTGAAAGGTTATTCAGAGGCACACATCTGTCTTCCCACCCCCTCCCCCAACCCTACCCCGCCCCCATGTTACCCCACTCCTTGCTAGAGAGGAGCAACCAAACAAATCTTACTCAAAGTAAACAATATATGTATTGATCAG